CTGTTACAGTCCGCGCCGCAAGTCAATCCGTCGCAAACTTCGGCTCAAGCGTCACCACAAGCGTCACCACATAACTCCGTTTTGAGCTCTCCGACACGACGTCCCTTAGGGCCTCGTAGCATGGGTTCCCCCCATGGGGTTCCTGCTCTTCCCCCAAAGGTTCCTCTGAACACATCCCTTCCACGGGCACCCGACCCAGCCTATAGTCCTATTTGGTCGGTGCCATCACAGGGACCTTCAAACCCGCCGCGGACCTCGACGGAAAGCTCTCGTCCAGTCAACCCACGGTATTCTCAGCTCGCGAACTCACCTCACAGGAGCCCGAGCCGGAATGGGTTCGATGATAATCCGTACCGATCTAGAACCCCAAATGGTGTTCATCAAGTACAGGAGATCCGAAGCGGCAGTGCTGACCTCCCGCACAACACTACGATCACTCCGACAGAATTAATAGATTATCTTCGCAAATATAACATTCTGCTAATCGATGTCCGATCTCGGGAGCAGTATGATAGTGGGCATATATATGCTTCTTCAATCATATGTGTTGAGCCGGTGGTGTTGAAGGAGAACGTATCCGCCGAAGAGTTGGAGGAGCGTCTTGTGGTGTCGCCGGAGTATGAGCAGTCATTATTCGAACGCCGTAATGAATTTGACATGGTTGTGTACTACGACCAGAAAACATCATCGGTCAGTTATCTTGCTGGCTCTCCGGTTGGCACGACAGCGCCACATCTCCGAGCGCTCTACGATACGCTTTACGAGTTCAATGCCTATAAACCCTTGAAGGACGGTCGACCACCGGCATTACTTCTAGGCGGCCTCGACGCATGGATTGATCTCATAGGCCAGCAATCCCTTGCCACATCCTCCACTGCTGCTGTGATGGGATCCTTGCAGGCCAAGCGGCCACTGCGAAGGCCTGGGCGACCGCTTGGAAGAGTGCCGACGATGGTCAGCGCTAACTCTAGCTTAGAGGTCAGGAAACGACGACTGCGCGAGTACAAGCCACTGAATAACCAAGAGCTTACGGAGTGGATGGAGAAGTCCAAGACGGAGGAAATCGATGCCAGTACATATGTCGAAGAGGATGAAGAAGCACTGACGGCGGAACCTGCTGGAGAGGAGGAGGTCCCTGCCTCGCCCTTTGTTCAGAATTATGAAGATTTCCTGCGGCGCTTCCCCGAACCAGGCGCGATTCAGCAGTCAATGGTGGCACCACACATACGACCGGCGGGCACTGCTGCACCGAATTACGCTGCGCCTGTGCCTGTCGCTCCCTCGCGGCCGCCCCCGGCAGTTCCACGGCCTAGCTATAGCGGCGTCTCGGACGGCCGGCATATTCAACCTACCCTGGAGCGGCAGAGTTCGGCCACAAAAACAGCCCTCTACACCCCTCTATCGATGCTGAGCCGGCTCAAACTTCCTCGCACTGGGTTGACCAATTTCGGGGTGACCTGCTACATGAATTCGACTCTGCAATGTCTCAGTGCGACCTTACTGCTGAGCAAGTTCTTTATCGATAATCGGTTTCGGTACTATGTCCAGAAGAATTGGAAAGGGTCCCAGGGCGTCATGCCGGGGCTTTTTGCAAACCTGATCCGGTCGTTGTGGAAGAATGATGTTGAGGTAATCATGCCCACCTCATTTCGAAACTTCTGCGGGCGGTTGAATCAAGAGTGGGCAATCGATCGCCAGCAAGATGCCAAGGAGTTCTTCGACTTTGTTGTGGATTGCCTGCACGAGGACCTCAACATCAATTGGCAGCGCAACCAGCTTCGCCCTCTGACATTTGAAGAGGAGATGCAGCGGGAGCGGATGCCGGTCCCCAAGGTCTCCAAAATTGAGTGGGATCGGTATTGTCATCGCGAGGAGTCCTTCATCTCCTCACTCTTCGCCGGGCAACATGCGAGTCGATTGCGTTGCACCACCTGCAAACGGACGTCCACTACGTACGAAGCCTTTTATAGTATCAGCGTGGAGATTCCTCCGTCTGGAACGGGAGACATCTACCAATGCCTTCGTAGTTACTGCCAGGAGGAAATGCTGAGCGGCGACGAAGTGTGGAAATGCCCGTACTGCAAGTGTGAGCGGGTTGCGACCAAACAGATCATCATCACGCGGGCGCCTCAGATCCTGGTGATTCACTTCAAGCGGTTCTCGGCGTCGAAGACGCAGAGCGCGCGGAAGATCCATACGCCGATAGATTTCCCGCTGCATGGGCTGCGGATGGACGACTTCGTGTTCTCGCAGCCGACTCCGACGTCCGTTCCGAACGGTCATTCGGCGACCGTGCCCCCGGAGACGACGATCGCAACCGCCCCTCCCTTCACGTACGACGCATACGGCGTGCTGCGACATCTTGGGTCGTCGATGAGCAGCGGACATTACATCTCTCTGGTGCGAGATGCGCAGCGACAATGCTGGCGCAAGTTCGATGACGAGCGGGTGACCGATTTCAACCCGCGGGATCTGCGACCGAAGGAGCGGTTGCAGAACGAGCAAGCTTACATTGTATTCTATGAGCGGGTGCCTGCGAAATGAGGGCTCCGCCGGGCATCGTCTTTTTCTTTTTTTTCTTGAAGATACTCACATTCAAGCGATTATATTTTCCAACGGTTTGAACTTGTGTTACAGTGCCATCCCGTGAGCGGGATAGATCGACGCCAAACCACCGAATCCCGATTGGCATGATATAATTACCACTATCGCCTGCATATTTTGTTTTTCTTCTTTGCTCTGCGTTGACTGGAATGTTTTCCGGCGAAGACACGACTGCATGATGACGGGATGTGAGCATGTGACGAGATCTTATACCTTGTTTTTTTTTTATGTTAATGCTCGACGTTGTCTCTTGTGATTTAGCCCCTTCCGAGTTTAGATCTGGTTTATAGCATGGATGGCATGGATGTTGAACAGGTAGCGTTGTGTGTTCAGCGGGAATGAATGGATAGAGTACTTTTCCGGAGTACTTCGTTTGGAATAAGCAAAAGCACGCAGTGAGTGACCAACTTATAGAAACCCCCGGGAGTGATACTGTCAGCTCCGACGGGCTCAGAAGAATCCTAGTGCGCCGGACTCTCTCTCTCTCTCTCTCCCCCAGACCGGCGGACGGACTTTGCCAAAGCTAGGATACTAGAAGGTTTCTGTCATAGGGCCCCAGCTCCGACATTGCAAGCTATCGATGTATGTACAGTACTGTATGTATGGTAAAGTCCGTCGCAGTAAACCGGTGGAGAGCCCGCCAGAGCTTGCCTCGTAGTCTATCCTCTGAGCGTCTGAGATTCCATGGAAGACCATCGAACCTTCGACAGACACCCTCGTCGCCGAAAGAAGTAGGGAATTCCGCTCCTGGCCCCGAAATTCCGCTCTGGAAGGGGGTGACTGACCTTTCAATCCGTCATTCAGCGCAGGCGGGGGGGGGGTTTTGGGAGGGAAGGGAAAAGTCCCGATGGGGCTTCCCGGGGGTGGCGGGCAACTGGCCAACTGGGGCGATCTTTCCCCGAGGTTACGGGTAACGGCTATCGAGAGCGGGGATGAGGCCCTTCAGGTCGGGAATTGTTTGAAGTGGTCTTTTGTCTTGGACTGGACTGTACTCGGTACTCAGGGCTATTGTGCTTGGGTGATTTTTTGTGGTTTATCTGGCGGTGGATTTATCTCTCTATCAAAGGATAGGTATGTAGTGATGCATTTAAAAGAGATGGTGGTGGTACAGGTACAGTCTGTCCGTAGTTATCAACCGGGTGTATACAATCAGGCTGTCAGAAGATAAGGTGGTGGAGATTCATCTCCGACACCGAACACACTAACTAGACTGACTGTGAGTGTTCTCCGGACTGTTCGTGAGGCGATCAGCAACCTTACCCAGTAATCCTATTCCCGGATATCCCACATGCTCAGGGTCTAATCTTTACCGTAGAACAAACGACGTAGCTAGCTAGCTGGTGGTACAATACATATATACACACATAGACTGACTCTGTTCTTATACACACACACACACCTTGCAGTGCCTTCCTGCAATCCCATATTTCTTCGTCCTTCTTTTTTTTTTTTTTTTTTTTTTTTTTACTTTTTTTTTCTTTTTTTTTTTTGGCACCACAGGCAAAGTTTGCCTGATCGGGAATAGTGCGCTGTATGCTCTGACTAAGACGGGAATAAGCGTGCGGTGATTGGCGCAGACGGACCAATCCCTATCAGGCCACTTTTCCAGATGACCCAATCGGGAAGGTGTTGGGATTGCACGGAACGGAAACTCAGCAGAGAAAGCAAGTACGAGCAAGCAGACTCACTTTTTCACAAGCAAGATGAACCGTCAAAAGACAGGATATTGAAGCTCGGTAATAGAAAGCTGGCCGGTCCCCAAGGCGAACGCTGAGTCCGGGAGTGCTCCCCGGGAATGTTGGTCTGGGTCAAAGGTGGCTGCCTCAGGCTGGACCGGGGCGAAGTGATCGACTCCGACTGCTGGGCCGGACTGATTGATTATTATTATTCTTCTTATTGACTATCTCTCCGTCTCTCTCTCGCTCTCTCTCTTCCTCTCTTCCCTTCTCCTCTTCGTTCTCCGCTTAGTCGTCGTCTTCTTCTTCTTCTTCTTCTTCCTCCTCTTCCCCTCTCTCTTTCTCTCTCTCCGTCAGTGCTGCTTCTGCTTCTGCTTCCTGTCTCCGTTCGCATTCCCCTTCAGTTCAGTTCTATCTGGTGAGTTCCCTCTCTCATCCCCGACAGACACACCCTTTCGCTCCCACTCCCACTCCCACCCCTCACCCCAATATCCCCAGTGCAGCGCATCCCAAAGTGATACAAGTCCACGGGTGTATCTGGAGATCTGTACTCCAACCAAGCGCATCGCGCGAACATCTTCTTTGCCGATCACCGCATCACCAATCCCCTAATCCACCTACCTACACCTTGCCCCCCCAATCCTCACCACCCACATCTCACCACCTCCAACCCTCGAACAAGCCCAACCTCACTAACCACTCGCTCCCTACAATAGCCTCAAAAAAACAACACCCAAAATGTCCGACATCAAGGAATTCACCCTCGCCGAAGTCACCGGCCACAACACCAAGAAGGACCTGTACATGGTCATCCACGACAAGGTCTACGACTGCTCCTCCTTCGTTGACGAGCACCCGTACGTGGCCCTTCCCCTTATCCCTCAACCCCCCCAAGGAAAAACCATCAATTGACCCCCAAAACAAAACAGCGGAGGTGAAGAAGTCCTCCTCGACGTCGCCGGCCAAGACGGCACCGAAGCCTTCGAGGACGTCGGCCACAGCGACGAAGCCCGGGAGATTCTGGACGGTCTCTTCGTCGGGAACGTGAAGCGCATGGTCAGTTGCCAACCCTACAAACCAACCCTCCTTTCCCAAAACCCCTAGCCTCAATGCTAACACTCCGCTCAAAAGCCCGGTGACCCCGCCCCCCGCTCGCACGCCAACCCCTCCGCCGCCTCGGGCTCCTCCTCCGGCGACGCCGCCGGTCTGGGCGTCGGCCTGTACGCCTTCCTCGTCGTCGGCGGACTGATCGCCTACGGCGCCTACCAATATCTGCAGAAGGCGTCGCTTGCGTCGGAGCAGTAGACTTTTTGCGTTCTTGTTTGCGGGACTTTTTTTTTTTTTATGTGTTGGGCTTTTACTTGCTGGTCTGTTATTCAATGTGTGTGCGAAAAATCCATACCGTATATTCTTAATTCCTTTGTCTGCGGCATATCACGTCGTTGAAAGAAGATTCCCTACCTTTTTTTTTTTTGCTGGTCTTTTTTTGTTTGTGCCGGTTTTGCTATTAGATGGGTGATGAGGGTTGGTTTGGGAGGATCCAGGGTTGTGGAAATGCATGTGGAAGGGAATGCGGATGTATGCTCTGGTTTGAGAGAGATCGAAAGGGTGCAAGGAGAAGCTCGGGTTGGGAGGTGAAAGGGAAGAGGTAAGGCGCTTGATTTCTATACCATGTCCTGTTCCATAGGGGCCGTGTGCAATCTCAGATATACTGTCTATCTTGGTAAACTTTAGGGGTGATCCCCAAAATCACGAGTCAGAAGGCACTATCCCCCCGTTACTGCTCTTACTGCACTAAAAGTACGACTGGAGGTAGTTGTAGAGTAAGATGAGAGTAGATAGGGCTAGCTCATGCATAAATCATGGCAGAGAAGTACAAAAAGACAATCCAACCGCTGCCTGCCTGCCAAAAAGAAAATGCTCATGGGATCTCGGATCGTAACAGTCTTCTTCTTTTTATAAACATAGCAACACAAATATAGAACTGTAAAGTAAAAAGAGAAGTTATGGTGGGTAGGGAGGTGGAATGTTTAATGATGCTGAGGCCATGAGAGGGGGACGGCCAGAAAAAAAAGAGAGAGCGTCCTGATTATTTCCAAAACCTTGTCCCAACGCCTTGCCTTCTTGCGCTCGGGATTTCATCGTCGTCCATTTACCGGGAGTTACCGCTCGTGCCTGCGCGGACTGCCTCCAGGATCATGTCCTTGGCCTCCTCCAGACCGTCCTTGCTTCCCTTGATCTCGATCGCCTCACCCTTGGCCTGGCCCTTGGGGACGTTGATCCGGCATCCCGTTTGCTTGCGGATCGCGTTGATCTGGCTACCACCCTGGCCGACGACGAAGCGGTACGTCTTGGGGTCGGGCAGGATTAGGTAACCGGTGGCAGACTGTTGGGAGGCGTTGGCAATGGCCTTCTCCAGAGCCGACTTGGCCTTGGCAACGTTGTCGCTGGTACCGGCGAGCACCCACGGAATGGTAGCAGGTTCGGACGGGTCGGCGGGCGCGGGGCTGTTGTCGACCACCTTCCACGAGTGGACCTCGGCGGCATCGGTGGGCTCATCCGTGATCAGTGGCAGCGACGAGGCTCCATTGACCTCGCCGCGCGAGTCCTCCGAGACGGGCTTGGCAGGCACCTGTTGGCCAGCGTGATCGACCGTGACACGGTAATCGTTACGGAGACGGCGGAAGAACGAGCCATTGTCGGCAATCACATGGTGCAGGTGGCGGGGCACTTCAACCGTCTCACCCTGCTGGTCCTTCAGCATACCGTCAATGTGCTCCTTGGCTTCGGCAACGGCTTGGCTGGGTCCCTTGAGCTTGATCTCGGTGCGGCCAGAGCCCTGCTTGGGGATGTCCAGGGTGATGTTGAACTTCGATTCGATGTTGCGGCGGGTATCACCACCACGGCCAATCAGAAGACGGTGTTGAATCGTAGGAACGTCAAGAGTCACAGTCACCTGATCCGCGCGCTCCTTGACGAATTCTTCGATGGCGGCGATGATCTTGTCAACAACCTGTTCGTTTCCTTCCAGCTTGATGGTCGACTCAGCACTCTCAGGACGGGGGAATTTGACCAGCCGAGAAGCACTGCCGTCAGTGGGACCGCCAGCATCAGCAACGATCTTACGGATGTTGGCACCTGTTTAGTGATTAGCAAATTGCGTCGACTAGCATTGCGGCACGAACTTACCGCCACTGCCGATGAGGGACTTGTGGTACTTCTTATCCACATCGATGGTCTTGGTGACGATGGAATCGAACTCGCCGGATCGTTCAAGCAAGGTTTTCTTGGCCTCTTCGACCTGCTGCTTGGTACCCCGGATCTTGATCTGCACGCGGCCCGACTCATCCGGTGCATCGTTGGCGCCCGGAACATCAATCTGGGCACCGGTATCGGCGCGGAGCTTGTCCATCTCGCGACCGCGCTGCCCGATCAGAGAGGGGATCTGGGCCTGGGCCACCGACACAGTCGCGGTGTGGGAGTGGTCGACGACCCACTGCAACAGACTCAGGATCTCATCCCGTGCCGAGTCGGCACCCTTGCTGGGACCCTTGATGATGACTTCGTCCGCAGCCTGCTGAGACCGGTTGGGGCGAGAGCCACCAGCTTCGCTGGAAGTCTCCTGGTCGTCACTGGCAGCTCGGGGGAACTGAACACGGACAGAGTAACGATCCTGGAGTCTGTTCACCTGGCTACCCTTCTGACCGATCAGCTCACGGTGATATTGGGCGGGAATCTTCAGGGTGTGAGTCGTCTCATCCTCCAATTTCTTTCCAAGGTTGATGATGCGGGTCTTGGCAGCATCGGCCTTCGCCTTGGGCCCCTTAACTTCAACCTTGCCGTTCTCGACCTTGATATCCACATCGAACTCGTCGCGCAACTTGTTGATGTTCTCGCCCTTCTTGCCAATGAGGAAGTTAGCGAACTTCTGGGGGAAGTCGAAAGTTGTAGTGTAGCCTCTCTCAAGGTCATCCTTCTCCTGCTCCACGACAAACTCCTGGATCTTGGAGATCAGGTCCTCCACGAGGCGGGAAGGACCACGAAGCGCAACCTCGGTCTCAGTGCGGCTGGATCCTTCACCGACAATGGCACGGACGGGGATCTCATCCTCGCCCTTAGACTGCTGTTCGCGGGCAATGAATTTCCGGACCTTGTCTTGGTACTTGCTTGGCACGTTGATGGTCTTCGCCACGACTTCCTTCTGGTCACCGAGAGCACTCAGGAGGTAGTCCTGAGCTTCTTGGAGAACCTTTTCGAAAGTGGCAACTTCTGCGGGGGAAGGTCTTTGTCTTGGGATCTCGAACTGGCCAGCATTAGACGAAGGGCCCTCGTAAACCATGAACACATCCGAGCTATCAAGGTCTTCGGGCACCAGGAGGTGAACACCGTAGTCGTTTTGAAGCTTAGGGATGGTGCGAGACTCCAGGTAGGGGTGATAGTAAGGATCAACGTTGACGGCACGGATTCTGGTCGGGGGGTGTGCTTGGACGAGGTTCATGATATCGGATCGCGCACGAATGGTGTTCTTGCCGTCCCGGGAGTAGACTTCCCAGGTAACCGGACCGTTAGAGCTAGGCGGGAGCGCAATGCGAGCGTCATACAAATTCTCCAACTCCTTGATGATCTGGCGCTGTCTGAGGTAGCGAGTCAAGGCACGAGCATGGGCATGAGGTCCAGCAGGCGCATTGGGGTGTTGACGGGAGAGGTCAATGCTCGCCATTTGCATGCTCGTGGCGAGATCCATGGCCCGATTGATACCATTCTCGATGCAGTCAACAGGTCCCGTGATAGCAAGGAACTCGCTATCATCGGAATCGGGAGGCAGAACAATGGCGCAGCCAGTGTCAGCAAGGAACTCATGCAAAGCATCAGCATTGTCTCCGAGGATGAATTGATGTTGGCCGCGGTTGATGGCGAGTTGGCGCAATGTCAGCTGGCGCTGCAGCTCGGCAGCAAGCCTCTCAATCTCAGCGCGAGCTTCCTGAGCCGCAGTGCGCTCACCAGAGATGTGAATGTGTCTGTCCGAAACAGGCGCGAACTGAACATGACCGGGGTCAGCCTCCTGGGGGGGAGGCTGGCTCTGCCAGGTGTCGTACCGCGGGACGTGAACTTGTGCCTTTGTGCGTTGCTCGATTTCCCGGAGCTGCGCGTTGTGAGCACCTGCAATGAAAGGGAAGAACTCGGGGGGGATAGTCTTCAGTCTCAGGCTCATGTTGGAAGCTCTCTCACGAACAATAGCCTCGATCTCACGACGAGCCATTTCCGCGGCAACAGCATCACCTTCTATCAACACGTCAATGGTATCATCGTCATCAAAATCGTCTGCGGAGGCAGACTCGTCAGCACGCGGGACCTGAACACGCGCGCCGGTGCGTTGCTGAATGTCTTGAACAACAGCGCCTTGGCGACCAATGATGTGAGGGCGGGCGGATGTGGGAATGGGAACGCGGACGGATTGCTAGACGGAGATGTAAGTCATCCATGCGTCGATTCACAGTGTCATTGACATACCTTAGATCCAACTTGCTGCGCGACCTCCTTCAGCGCCTGTCTGACGGCATCTGCGGAACCCTTACCCTCGAAGATGATGGAGCCTCCCGGTCCACCGCGCATATCAACGTTGGCCTTGGAGCGCCGAGAGATGTCGCGCAGAATGTCGCGCAGAGGCTTCTTCATCTGGCCGCGGGGAAGCATCTGGGATGGTGCTAGCCGAAGCTGTTCCATGTGCTTTCCAGGCAGACTCATGATTCTCGGAACATCAGAAGCTAATTCAAGACCTCCTGTGTCAGCCGCAGTGATCGGGGATTTATATGTGACTGACCACTGTACACATACCTGCTTGTGCACCATTGGCGCCGTTAGCGACAGCAGCAGCGGAAGGGCCGCGAGCACCCCAGGCTGAGACGGCGGGGGCCTTGGGCTTGGGTCCACTTCCAAGAGCGGGGAACAATTCCTCCGACTGCACGTCGAAAGCAGGTGCCTTCTTGGGGGCAGCCTTGGGGATGGAAGGAGTCGCAGGCTGAGAGGAAACATTGGAGTCGCCCGAGGCCTCGACCACCGAGGATGGGGGAGGGTGCTTGAGATCCTCCTCATCCACTACATCCTCCACGGTCACTTTGTGTGCCTCATCGCGAGCGTGCTGCTCCTCCAACATAGCGGCCCGGGACTTGGTGCCACCGTTGACATCGACTGCGACTGCTTCGGAAGCCATTGTAGCAGGACAAAGCGGGATGGGACGAATTGAACCGCAGATAGTGATTAGACGATTGGGCCGAGAAAAGGATACAGACGGACACTAGCAGACAATGTCGTTAGAATTGGGAGGGGGGAACCAATGGAGAGAGGGACGCAACATACCAGCTAAACGCAGGTGTCTGTGTAATTAAAATTGGATGTCGAGTAGCGGGTAATGGAAAGGACTGATTGTTTTGATCACACCAATCCCTAAATGCAAGAGCCAAAAAAGGAGCAGTTGAAAAGCGAACAAAGTCAATTGCTATCTGCTGAGGCTAAGGGCTGTAGAAACGATGAATAAAGTCAAGTTCGCAGGCGCTATTGCATCCCAGGATTGAAAATGAGGGGGGGAGAAGAAGGACCTCGGAAAAAGTGGGAGGTGGAAAGGCGGCGGAAGAAGAGTAGGATGCTCTCAGAGTGGGGAAGAAGAGGGAGTTAGGAGAGGGGAGAGAACGGGGAGGAGAGGTCAATGAGAGAGGGAGAGGAGGGAGAGAGGGTCAACGAATTGACACAATGACGAGGTAGGAGGTAAAGATGAGGGTGGTG